CGCGGGCGCCGGCCGGGGCCGACGGCGGGGCTGGGGACAGCAGCCCCTCACCGGGCTCCTCGCTGCCGTCACCCCTGAGCGACCCGCGCCGGGAGCCCATGAACATCTATAGCCTGATCGCCGTCATCCGCGACCAGATCAAGCACCTGCAGGCAGCCGTGGACCGCACCACAGAGTTGTCGCGGCAGCGGCTGGCCTCGCAGGAGCTGGGCCCTGCTGCAGACAAGGACAGGGAGGCCCTCATGGAGGAGATCCTCAAGCTGAAGTCGCTGCTCAGCACAAAGCGAGAGCAGATCACCACGCTGCGCACCGTGCTGAAGGCCAACAAGCAGGTGAGCCCCCGCCGCTCCGCGTCCCCTTGGCCTCCTCCAGCCAGGCAGTGGGTGGGCTCGGACCCTTTAACCAGAGCACTTGGGCCGGCGGCACCACCACTCCTCCCTCAGAACCACCTACTCGGGTCTCTGGTGCTGTGGAGAGAGTGCTCTGGGGCTTCATGGGGCCCCAGGCCGGGCAGGCCTACTCCCACAGCACAGCACCTGCAGTTGGGACCCGGGGCTGCTTTGGTGGGAAGGCGACTCTGGGGAGCTTTCCGTGTGGGTGCCAGCACTGCCGGGGACTTGGCCCCAGTGGGAACCCCGAGCACCTCAGGTGCCTTCACCTCCTGCCCTCGTGTGTCTGTCCCAGACAGCAGAGGTGGCCCTCGCCAACCTGAAGAGCAAGTATGAGAATGAGAAGGCCATGGTGACCGAGACCATGATGAAGCTGCGCAATGAGCTCAAGGCCCTCAAGGAGGATGCGGCCACCTTCTCCTCACTGCGAGCCATGTTCGCTACCAGGTACCCGTGTCTGGCCCCCGGCCCCGCACCTGCAGGGCCAGCGTGGCACAAGCTCTGGCAGGCACGGTCCCCGGCATGTCCTTGCCGCGGACGCAGTCAGTGATGGTGGTGGGGAATGTCGAGGCCGCACGGTGTCAGGACCCAGTTGCTTGCCTCCCACCTTCGCAGTTACACAAGCAGGTGCCTGGGTTCTTCCCATCCCTGGGGCTTCCTGGCCTGACCATGAGCCTGGTTCTGTGGGGTGGTTTCCGTTTTCTTTTCATGAAAACGTGGTTGGCCCCTTCCCGTGTCTAGTTGATATATGAGAGACAGGGGTCCCAGGCAGACAGCTTGAGGTGCGGGATGGTGGGGGCAAGTGGAGGCATCTGCCCTACTGCGGCCCCTCTGGCCCAACAGCTGTGAGATTGCCAGCCCAGCCAACAGGTGACAGGCGAACTGTGGCCTTCCCTCCTGGCTGCAGCCAGGTCATGGCCCAGAGCCCCTTCTGGGGTCCTGCACTGCACACAGCTCTGTCCCTCCAGGTGCCAACCTGGGACCCACAGCTCACGCTCCTGTACGGGCTCTTGGATGACTCTGGGTAGCCCCTGGGTGCGTGCACCTCCAAATCAGGGCAGCTTAAGCCCCAAGGCTGGGAAGCCAAGCCTCCAAGGGGCTTCGTGGTCAGACCCTGCTTACCAAGACTCTCTGGGGCTCCTGCCTTTCACCCTCCATGGGCAGGTGCCGCCACCTGCTGGCTGGTGTCGGGATGGCCCCATGGACAGCCCCGAGGGGCTGGTGTTGGGGGGCGCACTGAAGGCCCAGCCGGTGAACCGGACCTTGTTCCTCTGTGCTGAGGAAGCTCCTCATAGACGAGCTGGGATCCGAGTCAGGGCACGCTCCGTTTCTCATGTCCCCACAGAGATGCTGCTGGAGCAGGGTGGAGACAGAGTTCAGGGGAAAGGTTCACCCTTCCTCAGTATCTGACACGTGAACTCCGGTTTTCTTCTTTTATTTAAAGACCTGACTTTTCAGGTGGAGCCCAGATCCCAAACTCAGGAAACTGACAGCTCTCAGTGTGCATCCCCTGGACAGGGCACTCTGACGGCCAGCTTGGGGTTAGGGTGGGGCCACAGGGGCGACCCACACAGCCCCCTCGAAGGACAAGTGGGAGAGGGACACCAGAGGCAGACCACCCTACAGCTCCACAGCCCCGGGGGCAGGCGTGTCACAGGTCAGCAGAGGGCTGTGGCAGGTGACCGTGGCTGGCGTTACGGCCACTGAGTGGTCCAAGACTGAGCCTGTGGCCACG